CTTTTTCTTAAGCTTGATTTGTATATTGAAAAGGGATTTACGACTTTTGAACATCTGTATACATGTGTTGTCTTATACTTGTCTTTTACTATATACTATATGTTTGAAGTGACATAATTAGTAGAAAAGCAAGTAAAGTTGGAATATCTATTATATGTAATATGAAACGTGAATACTGTGAGATATGACGGTCATATCAGATTCTAGATGGACTTATTCCTTTTATAGCCGTTTTATAGGTTTTTTTTTCTCATTGTTGAAGGCCGTACGGTTGCCTATAATTGCTAACATCCACTTTATTTGAACTTTGGTGGATAGTTGTCTCATTGGCAATCATACCTCATCTCCTTGCTTTTATATTATTTAACACAACATAATTAAGGATAGTTAAGGCGAGTTGACTTATGTTGCAAAACATTTGATACATGCAGATGCAGTTTAAAATAAAGTACTAAGCAGTCCTGCATACCACATGCATTTATAATAAAAAAAAAACAACTTTTGTTTGACAAGCCTTAGATGTTGGCGGGAAAATAGAGGCGGAAGATATCATATTCAAACTCATAAGTCGATGACAAATTGGTGGTAAAGAATGGTAAGCAAATCTTCTATGTTTTTGCACTTGACATTTTATACTGACACTCCTTACAATCATTGTCACATTAACAACTATCAGTGTTATAATGTAATATCATAAATACTATATGTTTAAGTTAGCCAGCATGGTGTAGTTGATACTTTTCTGGTTAACATGTTGCTAATAATTACATATTACGTAATCCACTAACTGAATCGCATTCGTCAATGACTAAAAGGAGAAGCAGAGAATATGCAAATGAACAGTAACCCAACGAATAGGGACAACTTGGGGATAACTTTGTAAATAGACAACTGTGTCGTCTTTGGTCTATAGGAACCTGATACGTTACTGGTTTGTCAGCTACGTAATACGAATGAATAATACATAAAGGGAAATTTTAGATTTACAATAGACCACACCATCACGCAACACATGAGACCTCCTTAAACGTTGACGTACATACAATCAAAGACAAACATCAATGAACAACACATGAACAGGAAAGCTTTGTCGTACATGCACACCATGCTAGCCCTACCGGTAAATTGTATATCATTTCGGGATTTGATTGGAAAATCTGTTTTTCTTATCGCTTTCTGTGTCTTATTACGTACAGTTGATAATCTATTTGTCTTTTTGCATATTGCACTCTGAATATTGAATTGCTGACTTCTCCTTTATCTATACTTAGAAAATATACCAGTCGTATAACTAAGTTTTACTAGACTCGCGTCTCGTCTTCATATGACTGGTAACTGGCGCAAGGATCAAAACGGCTAAAAGGACAAATCATCACGAAACAGAAGAGCATTACAAACAAAAATTCCATAAAGTTGTGCCATATGTGGCATTGTCTGTTTGAATGCTTTAATCTGTTTTGTATTGTTTATTGTAACATAACTAGCGCAAATTAGGAATCAGTAAAAAAAATAAACCAAGAAAATGACATAATTTCAAAGTATAAACATCTCTAGTTATAACTATGATTATTGATTATAACATGATAATGGATTATAACATAAGGTTTCCAAGTGTACGGTTTATGATTTAATATCTCGTAAAGCCATCACGGTAATGCGAATTACAAACAAAATAATATTGTAAGAAGTTGTAATTGGTAGAACAATACTTATTTTGGTATAGAAATGCTACATACGCAATCCCTGAAGTGCTTCTAATTCTTAATCGAATAAGAGAGAGGCGGAAGAAATCAAAAATATATTCAAAGTCATTGTTCGTAAACGAACTACAATACCATGGCAACAAACAAAACACAACCAAAAGACAAAAAACAGTCTGTTCCGTTACTGTCTACAAAACACAAAAAACAGAAAACAAAAAACGGAGCAACACCAAAAACCGGGGGTGATCTCAGGTGCTCCGGAAGAGTAAGCAGATCCTGCTCCACGTGTGGCGCCTCATGTGTTGCTCATTTGTACGTACAAACCCGTCGATTCTAATTCGGTAGGTCACATTCGATGATAAGAGAACGGGATTGTTGTGGTTTAGACAATTGGAACATATTCTTTTATGAATCTATGAAACATGAAACAGATGTTCCATAATAATTTCAATATTCTATAATAAAAGGGTAAATTTGGAAACAGGAAAATACAAACTGAATAAAAACCCAACGATGGGTGCTAGTGTTGCTAAAATTTAATTTTTCTGTTTGACGTTTTGAAGACTGTTGTTTGTCTGTTATGCTTTTACTTTTTGTAATGGTGTTTTCCATCTTTCTCAAATTTATTTTTGTTATTTTCCCTCTATGCATTTTAGTAGCTTGATTTCATTTGTCTCTTCCCTCGTATTTAGCCAATGTCTTCTTTGCATAACGTTTTATGGTACATAAATCCAATAAAATGTTCAACCCTCTAGTGTATTTTTTGTTTACAGTATTAAGCTAAAACTTTGTTGTGTGAATAAGAGGACTGTAACGGTGTGATATGAATGTGTATTGTGATATAAATGCTTACCAGGAAAGGCAGGATCAAGAACGGTCAGGTATATCCTAATTCCTAATTTGCAAAGGAAAATTTTTGGTTTAATTATAAAGACAAGTACATTATTTTAACCACATTGATTTATAGGTGCAAAATTTGAAAAAGAAATAAAGAAAGATGATTTTATATGATCATGATATATTACAGCCAATATATTTCTAAAAGACAGATTGTCACAGCTTCCATAGTATTATCCCGGCGTTAATGGTCTACCTTGCATTCAGCTTTAAATATAATGCATTACTTGTGATTACCTTTAATGACATTTTATTTGCTGATTGTCATATGGCTCGTTACATATTTATCAATTATGAACTTTTGACGAGGTCAATACTCTATATATGAACCCCTTCAGATCATTTTAACCGAGGACGAAGTCCGAGGTTTAATACAATCTAACAGGTCCATATACAATGTATAACGTATTGCCTGAGTGAAAGTCCTTAATTTATAAATTACATATGTAAATAGTGTATTATGAAAATGGGCCATAAGTCCTAAGTCAGGAATCTGATGTTCAGTAGTTGTCGTTTGTTGATGTGGTTCATAAGTGTTTCTCGTTTCTAGTTTTTTATATAGATTAGACCGTTGGTTTTCCCGTTTGAATGGTTTTACACTAGTAATTTTTTGGGGCCCTTTATAGCTTACTGTTCGGTGTGAGCCAAGGCTCCGTGTTGAAGACCGTACTGTGACCTATAATGGTTTACTTTTATAAATTTTGACTTAGATGGAGAGTTGTCTCATTGGCACTCACACCACATCTTCTTATATCTACATAATTGTTATGTGGCGAAGAGTAATATCAGAACGGCTAATAAACGGTTCTAAATTAAGACATACATGTATAGCGTCAATATATTTATAAATAGTTTCCATATACTTAAAAATCTTTTGACTCACGAGATCGTAATAACCAATGAAAAAAAATCTACACCATATGTAATATCTCAAACTAAACATACACTTAAGAAAGCCAATTGAAAATATAAAATGTAATATAAGAAGATCTGTTTTGTGTGTCACTTCTCTCATTGTTCGTATAGTATTTACAGGGTAATTTGTTATCCTCATTATCAAGTTTGGACTATCGAGGGTAAAGTTCAGAAGATTACTCCCAAATGCCCTTCCTATCATTATATTCGAATTAATGTTCATACTTCTTTTTCACATGCAAGCAGATGATCAGTAGAAATATGACTAAAAGTAGTTAGAACAGAGAATGCAAATGGGGAATGTTTCAAAAAGACAATAACCCGACCAAAGAACAGAAAACAGACCAAGGCAACCAATAGATCTTCAACGCAGCGAGAAAATACCGCTCCTGTACGCCGGCTTCAGTTGGCCCCTAAACAATAATGTAGACTAGTTGTTCAGCGAAATGGACGCCACAATAAATTCCGAAACATACACATGAAACAAAATTAAAAAAAAAATACACAATTATATATTGTACTAACAAAGACTAGAGGTTCTTGACTTGGGACAGGCGCAAATATGCGGCGGGGTTAAACATGTTTTGTGAGATCTCCAATATACCCAAACAACAGCGTCGCATACTGTATCAAAAGGGATAAGATTTATCCATATAGCACTTAAGAATCTTAATCAACAACGCACTGCAACGTTTTTGGATTGTAAAAGATTTTGGATTGTAATTAAATCGGTATACGACAAGCAAATTAAATCCATGTCAAACCGTCTATTTTGCCAAATGTGTGTTTAGGCTACGTTAAAGTTTGTCAGCGTCTTTGTGGCAAACGTACCCATTTAGACATTTTAGTGAGTGGTCGTGTCATGTGTACACGGAAATTGTTGATGTTATTAAATCGCCCATTAAATTACAGCTCAGCATCCTGCTCTACCTCATTAATAATGATACTTTTTCATCCCATGCTTGTATGTTTTAGTTCGTAATCTTGTATTGATTGATAGTCAGCTCATATCGTCCGTTAACTATCAGTCCTCCACCTATCAACCTCTTGTTGAACTCATTGATACTTGAGGGGTAAATGTAGAAACTGTTTACTACTTCCGATCAACTAGGTTCACTCGGGATTTTTAATGATAAAGTTAAATATATCTAAAATTTGGATTTGAATTGAATACTGTTGTAATTTTTTCAGTCTTTTTCACCCCTGTGGTTTCGTAGTTGCATAATCTTCTTGAGTGTTGTCCGTCGTGGACTCCATTCCCAGCTGGTTCAAATTAAAGATTCAAAATTTTGTTTTTACCGTTAATCAAACGAAGAAATTACATGCTCTCGTCCTGAATATACATGAACTATTTGCTAAATGACGTTTGACAAACATCAATACGTTCATTCATCCATCTTTTTAACATGTACCTAACTTACACTTGTATCAGTGAATTAATACCTAAATACATGATAAATATATGAACTTAAATAACTGACACAGTCGATTTGAAATTTGATTTTATTAGCTTTGAAATAAAATACAAATATAAAGAGACAGTTTCTATGTCTAATATCTAATTCTTCTATTTTAGTTAGCTGATACGATTCGGACTGTTATTAGAGTTTTTTCTGGACTTTGTTAACACTATTTATTTTTTCAAATTAATATGTATGTTATTTTCGTCTGTAAGATATGTTTAGTTCGACTTTTCTTGAGAAACACTAACATTTAAAATATTTTTTTCTTTTTTTAATCTTGAGATGGCAAATTTCTTTTAACTAACATTAAAAAACACTGTATTTTTTACAAGTTGCATTTTTCTACATTGTACATCAAGCGAAAATGGGTATATAGATTATAAATTGGTCATTTAAGTCAAAATACAAGACACATGTTCAATATGTATAAAATGGAATTTATTCAAAATGGCGTTGCAAAAGTAACCGCTTAAAACAAGCATGGTCGTTGTAATTATTTTCTCTATTGTTTTGTTCACTTTTATACAGAAGCATTTCTCTCATTGAAAGTTTAACAACGATTCATACAAAGGACACTAAAATTTACTAGTTTAGAAAACATCAAGTGTGAATATGATTATAACAATAGCTTAAACACTGTATGCATTGGCGATGAAAACAAGCATTTTTCCTGAGAATTGCAAATCCACATTCGTAACTAAACATCATAAAAGCAATTAAAACATTTTATTTCAATAATTGTGTGTGGTGAGCTTCAACGAGACAGCAAACCAAAGATAATAACGGCAAAGTATATTGAGAGGCAAATATATTGATACAATAGACAATTGTCTATGCAAAACGGCTAGATCTATTTGCCCTGAGTCTAGAAAGACGCGCTGCAATACACTTCAATACAATGTCTTCATTTTCTAAATATTTTTCTTTCAGAAAATGAGCATAACGTATGCAATTAAACTATCGATACAGTAAATGACTAGCTTACAGACGTTTGGTAGTAGTTTTGTTTATACTAAATCTAGTTTAAAAAGTGAAGGATTTTAAACTATTTCAATAGGATATACATTTTTTATTTTATTTATATACTTTCTAAAACATCCTGCGAAAAGAAATAATTAAAATCTTTAACACACATAACCAAAAAAAAGAAATTTTCAAAAATTTAACTTCGAATAAATTTACAGTAAAATATTTTTTTTAAACAACACATAAATTATGTATATCTGCTATGATAGTTATTTACAGAATTGTGGTGGAATTTGTTAATAAAATGACATCTTCTGTTTGTTACATTTGAATAGACACAACGGCATAATGCTTTCACTTGTCAAATTGTTCGGCAAAGCAGCGTTATTTATTTCATCAATCATAAAGCCTATTTGAAATATGATATGTCGTTGTCATAGTTACATGTATATCGTCATTTTCTCATGAAATCTTAGTTGTCTAAATTAGAATTCAAAATGCCAACAAAGACATACTAAATTTTTATGTTTACATTCAGCAAAACAGCAAAATCATTTCAGGAACATGTACACAATGTATCTTGTAACAGAAGTAGACACGAGTATTGAGTCGTATTTGGGTTCACGTAGTTCATCTAAAGTTCTCTAATTGATCCTACTATTTAATTAATGAAATATACATGCTGTTGTCTGTGTAGCTGTACTACATTCCGAATGCACGTCCATTCCGGGTTTGGCTTCTACGGCTTTATCTACCATACTTGTATCCGTTTCCTGTGTAATCGGTGATCTTAATAAACAACTGCACAATTGATATAATTTAGGTGATCGTCGTATAATCGCTTTTCTAAATCCCTCATTTATAAAAGCGTACACAAATGGGTTGACGCAAGAGTTAGCGTAAGATAGTGTGTGAGCAAATAATTTAAAATAGTGCATTGAGTCTGTTTTCGGAAATTTCGGATCAAACTTAATACAAATGGCAAGTATGTGAATAGGTAACCAACATATAGCAAACAGAAAAACAACAATGGCTACCATCCGGGTAACTCGTCTTTTCCTTCGAACTTGTCTTTCTGCCTTGTCATTTTTAACTGATAGAGCGCTGTTTTCTCTCTGTAAAACAAAATTTGCGTTAAAGCCTATTATACATAATGTCATGCCTAAGTCACAGCTGAAGATTTGCCAATCAGAATAGTAGATTGTGTTTATCTCTTTGAAAATACAAAGTTGAAGCTGGAGCAAATCCTAGGATTTTACCATATATTATTATAATATAAAACAAAACAAAAAATATTTTTTTGTTGAATCACTTAAATTTTGTTTGCGATCGATTTTTCCAATTTGTTGACCATATTTGATAGTAGATATGGGTATAAACTATCATTTTGATATCTTCAACCATTTTATTTTAAACTGGATTTAAAAATTGGGAATTCTAATAATTAAAAGTTTGAGGTAAAACCCCGAAAATTCCACCTCAAAGTGTCTGGGTGTTTGTAAATATTTTTTAATCAGTATACTTAAAATAGGTTTAAACGTAATGGTGTGTCAATCTAGCCATGTAGTATTTTCAAAGTTCTACCATACATATGTTAAAACAGTCAAACAAGGTCCGACCGCTTATGGGTATGTTAAATCCGATGCCACATGTAGGTTGAGAAGCACGCTCCTCTGTCAAAGGGTACATGCTACAACTTTTGGAGGTGTCCTTTAGTGGCCTATTGTTAGATCATATTTGGAGCATTTACCAAAATACCCCTTTTTCCGGAGATAGTCAAATAATTTCTCGTTTTCTCGCTTTCAATGGGTTGCTGATCCTACCATCTAGATTTATTGTAAATTCGCGTCCTTAATAAGATATAAGAAGATGTGGTACATGTATGAGTGCCAATGAGACAACTCTCCATCCAAGTCAAAATTTATAAAAGTAAACCATTATAGGTCAAAGTACGGTCTTCAACACGGATCCTTGGCTCACACCGAACAGCAAGCTATAAAGGGCCCCAAAATATTACTAGTGGAAAACCATTCAAACGGGAAAACCAACGGTCTAATCTATATAAAAAACGAGAAACGAGAAACACTTATGAACCACATCAACAAATGACAACTACTGAACATCAGATTCCTGACTTAGGACAGGTGCAAACAATTGTCTTAAGTTTGTATGAAATACTTGCCACAAGACGTTGAGCAAACACTAATCAATGTTTTTTTTTTTTATTAAAGAACGTACTAGTTTAATAACATTCAAGATTCAACAACCACACTATTGAAATTAAAATAACGACATTACTACTGATATTTGCATAACAAATTACGAGCACGTTGAATGTTTATGTGTCAGAAGCATTATTTATTTACATTGCAGATTTTTCTCCTGAAAAGGGTTGACTGAGTATTCTTCTCGCTTTGATAAACACTTATATCTTTTTTAGCATTAATATATATTCTAAATTTTCTTCACTGTTAACGACTTCAGACGAAATAAATAACAGTAAAGTCTTCGTGTAAGACTGATGATTTATGTTATGTATTGGTGGAGTAGATACTACATGTACCAGTAGCCAAGCAATAAATACCATTCAAATTACCTAAAGTGTAAATCGCAGCCCGTGTTAGATGCTGTTCTAGTTTCATCCAATCTCTTTCTATTTTATTTGTGAATAGAAAAAAAAAAGAAACAGTTAATCCTTTTTCAACTGATTTTTATAGTTTGTTCTTATATTGTGCTATTCCACCACTGTCCCAGGTTAGGGGAGGGTTGAGCGCTCACAAACATGTTTAACCTCGCCACATTCTTTATGTACCTGTCCCAAGTCAGGAGCCTGTAGTTCAGTGGTTGTCGTTGGATCATGTCTATCATATTTGTTTTCCGTAAATTGTTTTGTTATAAAATAGGCCGTTATTTTTCTCAATTGAAATGTTTCATATTTTTCATGTCTGGGCCTTTTATAGCCGACTAAATGGTACAAGTTTTTCTCATTGTTGAAGGCCGTACGGTTGTCTATAATTGCTTACATCCACTTCATTTGAAATTTGGTGGAGAGTTGTCTCATTGGCAATCATACCACATCTCCTTATTTTTATATTATCATGATTTTTTTTTTAGATTGATTATATCTTAATCCATTATTTTTTGTTGAACAGATTAACGAACGCAAGTGTCTTATAGAAAACCAAAACTGCAAACATTATGATACCATACCTCAAGTCGGTTGTTTTTTCTGTTTGCTCCACTCCATAAATGAAACAAAATGCAGGCGTAACATATTATTATGGCTGTAAGCGGCAATACAAATGTCGTCATGACGACGACTAATGTCACAGCTTTATCAAATTCTGTTGACGGCCATTGTGGAATGCAATCTATTTCATCAAACTTTCCAACTTCAGTTACTTTAGTGTAGATCAAGTATGGGCAGCATATTGATAGTGATACTGTAAAATTAATTACAAAATGGTTGATGGAATTTACAGCAATATAGATTTTCAATATTTTTGTGTAAGACTATGAAGGTCTCAGTGAATATATTTAGAAATATACCCTGAGACATAACAAATTTAAAAACTGATATAAAGTTAGCATAAACCAGAACACATCTTTTTGCATCTTAAACTTTGGAAACTTATCAAGTTGTTTTAATTTCATTTTGTATGTTTTGTGCTTTAAAAAAAATATATGTTTTTTTTTCTTATTTAGGGGGCGATCGTCTGGAACATTTAGACATCTGTATGTACAAAATTTAAGTTGATATCAAGAGAAAACAATGAAATTCGTTAAATGACTATGATATTTGATCATTTCTCCTGAATGTGCTCAGAACTTTTTCAAACTTAAACGAAATTGTTATGTAAATATTGCAGGAGGTTCTTTTCCTTGAAAGCCTTATCAAGAAAAACTACTCGAGGGAGCCCTTAAGCCCTTAACACGGTGATTTGACTATCTCAATATTTGTAAATATTTCTAAAGTCCTCCTGAATAACTTGCCTATTTTACGTTTACGTTTTTCATTAAAATACAAGTAGTAATGCTAGTAATCCATTGTTCCTATACATTGAAAAATCAAATACTAATGAACGGTAATAATTCAAATTTTTATTTAATACCACTGTATTTTATTTGCATTTTATTTCTGGATTGTTTCAATATTTCTGTATAGAAAGGTTTTGTTTGTCCTTTGATGTTGTCGTACTTTTTTGTCATTCCAAATTTTAAGTTTTTGGTGAAGACTAATGAATGCATTACCCAAAAGTACAGAGTATAGAAAAGTCAGCGTGTTCAATTTCAATCTTAAGCATTGTAAAACTGAGGCATTGACCATTTATCTTTTGTAGGGGCATGGTGTTTTTTTAATACATTGGTTCATTCTTAATTTCTGAAAAAAATAAGAAAAAATGTAAATTCAACATTTATACATTTTAAAAGTTCATCAGTCATAATGAAATATAATGAAATTGTTTGAATAATAATAGTCCGTTCACCTGCCCATACTGCTAGACTGATGGCTGAAGCTGTCTTTGTTGACCGCCAGTTCATGGAATCTATTGGATTAACAATGGCATGATATCGGTCTACTGTCATGGCTGACAAAGTCAAACACGTGGCATGCAGTGTCACCTGCAAACAAAATTATAAACAATTGAATTAATGTGTTCGGTCCACTGTCGTGGGTGATAAAGTTAAACAAGTAGCATGCAACATTATCTGCAAAGACAGTTATAAACATTTGCAACATCATTCATAGGAATACATTGAAATCATGAAAATGTCGCGACACACAAACAAAATAAAACTACAACTCAAAGTTGCAGTGATATTCCCGACGATGGTGGCCTTTTTCTAAATATTTTGACTGCTTATAGATATAGGAAGATGTGGTATGAGTGCCAATGAGACAACTCTCCATCCAAGTTACAATTTATAAAATTAAACCATTATAGGTCAAGGTACGGCCTTCAGCACCACTAATCAATGCATCAACGACCAATTCGTTTAAAAACACATGAATTGCAATTTAACAAAAAAATCGATATACAAAGCGATTTTCCAACACGTGAAATCAAGTAAATAGCTTTGATTTAGACGGTTATAGATAAAACCCCATAAAAACCCATGTTGCTTTTATCGTGTATAACTAGATGTTATAATTGTTGAAACGTACCAATTCCGTCATTTTAAAAGCCTTTCAAATTCTTTTAATAGCGATATTTTGACGATTAATTGACTTTTATTATCAAAGTTTTCAAACATTTTCATCCATAAAATTAATGACTTCAAACAAAATTTCAGTGTTAAAATTAAACGGAAAACATTAAAATCCTTTAATTTCTAAAATTCATATGAATAAGAGATGATAAATAAGTATTTCCAACAGCTGATATTGACGATCATAAGCACGAACGTAATCATTGAATGTGCATGCTAACTAATGAAGAACTAGATTTATGACATTCATCTTTTAGATATTATGTTTTCTTTAATTATATGTGCATTTATAACGGTTCTGACCAGTTTAATAAATTTTGATGAATGACATGTTAATTTAGTTTATCTCGTGTAAGTTCCCGCCATATCCATTTGGAATTTGCCACTCAGCCTTTTCCATTACACCATTAGAGGAATAGATTCTATTTAACCTATGTTAGTACCATATATCCATTTTCGATAATCCTCGCATTTAAAATTAAACAATTCGAATGGATAAATATCATTACCAATGAGGTTGTGTGGTAAAATATCTTAATATATGATATCCGAAGGTTTTTCTGGAGTATAGATCTATCGTTTTCCCTGGACTTCTCCAATCTGTTAACTTATATACGACGCTTCGTGTGGAGAGAATACCACGCTCTTTACACCATTGAATAATCATTGCAACAACTTTTAAGGGGCCGTAGGTGTCCTGTGACAATACAAAATGTCATTCCCAATCTGAACTACCCTCATATTCCAGTTGCTGTCCAAATTTTCCCCCTTCACCCCGATTAACAGACTTTGCAGAACCAACCCACTACTGTAAACCAACTTATATTCGCGGTTACTTTATTTCGCATTTAGCCCTTTCTAGTCCATTTTGCGACGATTTGATTTCCCGATTTTCAAATTTACTTGATTTAGTTAAATAAGGAAAGATCCAATTTTAACATATTCCCGATGATTTAACGTGTTATTTTTCTACTTGCGAAAGTCGCAAAAATAAATCGCGTGCGAAAATTAGTTGGTTAATGTGTTGTCCTGACGATACTTGAAATATTTGCCATTGAAGGTTAAGCAAACAATGATCAATCAATTTCATATCAAACAAAACAAATTTCAGTAATGCAATTAAACAACTGTATTCATACAACGTAGCAACCTAACCTGTCTTTCACAAAGGATCTAATGTTACATGTATATATAAGAAAATGTGATAGTATATAAATAACTGATAGCTGAGAGGGTGATAGAGCAGATTGTTACCCCAAGAAAACATTATCAACTGAGTCGAAGCCAAGGTTGACAATGTCTTTTCGAGGGGTAACAATTTGCTCTATCACCCTCTCGGGTATATGTTAATTAATTCATTATACTGAATGTTCAGCTATTAAATTTCAAATTCAAAGTAATAAACTATGTTGTCTTGTATATAACAATCATCCGTATTCATTAAAGCGCACACTTGAGCAAGCGTCTCCGTGAAGCTTAAGGGTAATAGAGTATTTGCCATGGGATAGAGTAAACTGTCTCCCTCGTATTACCCAATCAAAATCTGGCATTTTGACATGAAGTATAATAAAAGAAAATAGTTTACTAAAGTGGGTTTTGATATCTAATAACATGATTATTAATTTGCTAGGTTTCTGGCCGAACGTGTTAAAATCAGAATTAAACTTTAGTACAAAAATGTATTCTTAAAAACGCTTGATTTTATTCTGTAATTAACATCTTTCAATAATTGATAAAGATGTTTTTATAATAGCTCTGGTGAGACAAACTTTTTGTTTCAAAGACCAATGATAAGAAATCCATGCACTATAATATTTATCGTCTGTACTAGATAGAATAATTGGCGTCGAAAGCCAGATATAAGTTATCAACTAAAACGATGATGCGCTATTCGTCGTCTCCATAATTTTAGTTTTGAAGACAAAAGATAAGAAAATCAACAAAAACGTTGTTGTATTACTCCCTACGCACTCTGTATCGTCAATGAGTCCGACTATTTCTTTGTACTCTAAACTGTTAAAGAGACTTATCAATTGTAGCCACTTTATATCGATAACAATCTATCTACTTTAAAGTCATTATGGGTTGCACTATGCTTTCAGTCGATTTAATATGTTCCCTTTGGCTTGAGTTGATTAACCATCAATATCACTTTGTTTGAAAATGAAATTCTACAAACTTTGATTAGAATACAAAATTATGCAATTATATGCAATTGCTTTTAGGATAAATAAATGTTCACTCAAGTGTGAGATCTGGTGCCATAAATCCTGGCTTAACTCAACTTTCGATTGTGGAGAAATCCTGTGGAGAATTAAAGTCGTGGTGTTGTAAATACATGTTCCACCTGTCAGCTGGGAGTAAAAGAGAGGCGAAAGATACCAAAAAGAATAATCAATTTCTTAAGTCGAAAACGGACCGACAATGCTATTGCAAAACATGAAAAACGACCGAAAGACAAACAACAGTATACAGCATACTTCATACAAAACAAAAGGCTGAGAAACAAGAACTTTACCAAAACCGGGGGTGATCTAAGGTGCTCAGGAAACATATGTTTGTAAAGATGTTAATGATTACGTGCATTTTGAATTTGTTTGTTTTATTTCTCCTACGATAGAAAATTGGGATGTGTTCCCCTTCATATTTGTTTGACGTTAATTTTTTTTATACATAAATCGTGTCGTTGGTTTTCTCGTTTTAATTTTAATTGTGTAACAGTTTGTCGTGCTGGTGTCTTTTATATCTCACTACTAGTATTTGGTATGGATTTTGCGTATTTTTCAATTACAACCTTTCGTCTCTGGTGGATTGTTGTCCCATAGGTTATCACACATCTCCTTGTTTCTTATATATATATATATATAATTATATTTAAGGAGTTGTAATCTTAATAACACAACACGTACTTAAAACGCTTAATAGGCGGTACTATTTACATGTATGCATAGCAAACAAAATGCACCAGTGTCCTCGTGAACAATTACCATTATTAGCTATGCATGAGTTCCTCACTAAAGTGTAGCAGTATGCCAGGACAGAAGATAAGAGTCAGAATGATATCTTGGTTAGTTGGACCTTTTGTCAGATTATTTTCCATAAACAATTAAATCAAGGATGTGATATAACTCGACTTTAGTGTAAAATAACATTATATCATCTACGTCAAAACTGTCGTTGAATAAAATGAAAGACTGCCGGATAAGGCTATAAATATATATGCGCATTAATCATTTAGACATGACATTATAAAATTCATGTGAAATCCTTACGATGGGGAATAGTGTTTATCTTGTGTTGCATAAAACTTGCACTTAATAACTGATACATTTAAATGAGCACAAGAGTGCATATCAAACAAACGTTTACGTCAGCGTTTTATGGAAATAATATATATATCAAGCATACAATGTCTGCAATTGTCCTTCAAATCCTCTTTTTGACACGAAGGACTTATTAACTTATCTGTAACTATAGCTGCGCCTGGTATTTTTGTGGATAACCATTAGCCCGTTTAGCTATAAACTGGTATTTTAGAGGTATTACTAAGTGCTTCTTCTGAACGTTTGTACGATCGTTTTAAGTGACTATAGATATATCTGAGTTTATTGTTCATGTGGAACATTTTTTGACGCCTCAAATTCAACAGCTTTTTTTTAAGTTAGGAAAATCGTCAGTGATTGTCTTTAGGTTAGTCTTAATGTTTTGTCATTTTGGGTAATATGGTGTGCATGGCTGGTAGACATTAAATATCTCGCTGCTTATCTAGATTCTGATTATTTAGAACTTATTATATTATATAGACTCCATTGTTGTAGACCTTACATATGTGTTAACCCTTTTAAAGGCATCCTATACAGTTTCAAAGGAGTTAATTCTTGGCGCGATGTTAAAACGTCACTTTCGGCAGGACGTCACAGGCATGCATGTAGTTTTTCGTAATAAAATAAAACCCGCTTGAACGATATTTACATGTAGTATAAACGATGCTTGAATTTACGTTTCTCTCGCACGTCAACTTCTACGCCCTTAAGATTAGTGCATTTGATTCTAATATTTTGGGTATGTATACACGGTATAAAAGTCTAATGAAAACATGTATTACTGTTTCTGCTGTTCCTCGTCTTTAAGCTTCTGTGAGGTCTTCAACAATGAAGTCAATAAAATATCGTACAGTGAGACACTCAAGATGACTGACCCCTTTGGTGTTAACATAATGCATCCTAAACTTTAAGTATGCCAGTGTAATAGTACAAAACGAGGAAGGGCCAGATTTCCATAAATTTATTACACACTGGTGGCCTTTTTTTTAAAGGTCTTTAAATCTGTACAAAAATTGTCACATCTATTATACTTTGAGGTTTCTACAACATTATGTGGTATTTCTGAACATTTGCTAGCCAGATTATAAA